ATTATATAGAAAACACAGCTACCGTGCATATTTAACTAAAAAAAAACTCGTCACTTGTTTAATAATTTAAATTACACAATCTATTCAAATTTTAATTGCATAGTATGCTGAATAAATTTTTAAAAGGTTAAAATTTTATTTTTTAATAATAAAACTCAATAAAAGCTCTAGAATTTAATTTCTAAGTATCATCCCTTTCCAATCCTATCTCTGTGTTGAAAAGAAGAAAAGAGGGAAACCTGAAGATAACAGCAAGCAAGAAAGTGAAAGCTGGGATTGAGTTAGGTATTGCTGAAACAAGGCGAGGGGAAATGTCTCTTACACCAGTTCACATACAGTTCTGCATTACAATAATCCTGCAAAACCCAGATGCACCATCAAATTTCAGCGTTCAAGGAACCAAATCCACTTCTTAAAATCAACAAAAGTAGCTTCCTTTAGACACAATTTCTCACCCAACAAAGCTAAGGAGGAAAATTTTGCAGAGCACAGAGAAATTGATTGGAGGCCTCGTTGTCCTGCATACATAAGTAGAACCATTTAGCACCGCAAAAACTAAAAACTGAATGATAAATACATAGACAGCCAAGACAAAGGAACTCATCCCCTTTGACGTGGCTGCTTTGTTGAGTGTTCAAGCCAACTTCCAGGCACTCCAACGACGCCAACGCCGCAAATGGCGCCAATCCCACTAAGAACGAATTCATCCCCATCCTTTTTTCACCCACTCTCCCTTCCTCAAATTCTGGAAATTATTGAAGCTGCTTTTCAGATTCAATTTCTATTGGTGAGAATAACTGAAAAGTCAATGACAAGAGATTCCGTAATATTTGCCAGCTACAGGTAACTCTGTTAGCTGTTACAGCCTTACAGGGATATGCATTGCGGTTTAATTGAAATAGTAACATTTAATAAGCAAAACTGTTCCTTAAGCCCCTAAACTTACCTCAAGTTCTTGATTAAACCCCTAAATTTTTATTGTAATAAATAAGCCCTTAAACTTGGTAATCTGAACAATTTAACTCTCCTTTTTTTATAGTAGACTTAACACTTGTTTATGTCTTACTTGCGTGGATAAAGTATTGACATATCATTAATTACATAATGGTATTAAAGTTATCTAGGTAAATAAGGTACAAACAAGTATTAAATCTACTATAAAGAAAATGGTTAAATTGCTCAAATAGCTTAGTTCAGGGGCTTATTTACTTTAATAAAAATTTAGAGACTTAAAAAAAAAAAATCTAGAATAAGTTTGAAAGCATAATGTAGTGTTTTGTGTATTTAATATTTGGTGAGTATTACAATTAAAGTTAAACAAAAATAGTATGATATCATGTGAGGTATGCTTATATGCTTATACTATTAAAAGAAAATTCATAATTCAAATAATTACGAAGTAGGGAAGCAAGACTATAAAGTATGAAGTTGCTAAGAACATTACCAGATCTAAGTAAAAAGGCAATCAAATAAAACTTTTTAATAAATATCAATCCCAATTATCTCACCTCACATCCAGTAAGATATAGAGTAGTCGAGAACAATGTCAAATCTACCAAAAGAAGACAATAATATAAAACTCTTACTAAAGATCCTAGATATCCTTCCTCCTCATGAGCATTAACTAGTTTATTAAATCATACTTAAAACTTTAGTAATTCTGATGGGAATCAGCCTCCAACCCAACATCCAACATAAAAGTTAGCAATTTTGAATAATTTTCAGTTTGGGTTGACATTTTAGTTTACCAGTCCGGATTGAAAGGAAAAAAAAAAATTCAATAAACAAAAAAGTTTGCAACTTTTCCCTCAAATGATGGCCAACAACTTTAATGGGACTTAATTACACACTGACGACAAGTTAAGGGTTAGTTGATGCCTTTATTTCAGAAAATAACGGGTCCGTAATATTGGGTCGGAGCTCCAACAGACTGATGGGCTCACCAGCGGAACACTACAGGGTCGAGGCTGGAGCTGAATTTCACGACTTCTTTCTGGTTCCGAATCCAATTTCTCTGCTCGTGGAAAATTTAGCTTAGAAGAAGGAGATGGGTACGGTGGAACCCAGTTTGGAAGAATTGTTGGAGCAGAAGAAGCGAATCAGGAACCCTCTTGTTCCAGTCGGTAATTCCCCTTGTAAATTTTCATTATTTTTTAAGTTTAATCTGTTCAGACTCTGGTTTTGAATCTTTCGGTATGTTTTCTTGGCAAAATTTAAGGAAATGAATGAAATTGAAATGTACTTGGTTGCGAGTTGAAAACTTTTGGTTCAGTTTTAGGGGATTTGAAATTTGGTGCTGCAGATCCATTTTCAGGAGAAACACCCTTCTTTTGGAATAATTTTGTTATTATTATTATTATTGATAAAGTGATCTCCTTGAATAGTTGATTTGGGGAATTGATTGTTAGCTTTGACAAGGAATTGTATAACTCCTGCCAGAAGAGGTTTCAGACAACTTTTATAAATTTATATGGCGACTAAGGTTGCTTCAGTGAGCGTTCGATGTAAAAGGTCTGCATGTTTAGACTTTTAGAAGATTTAGTGGATTTCATTGATTTTCCAGTAAAGTTGTCTATTCGTCTGAATTGTTAAAGTTTGAATGAATATAGGCTCAAACTTTATCATTTTGCATCGACCCTTCAGCTGAGAGAGGAAAAGAAAAGGTGGGAAGTTCTGCCAGGCAGCACAACACAGGAAATTGAAGAAGCTATAGGAGTTCTTCCATATCAGGTTTTGTGTACGGTAAAGGCAAGAGTTTGTTACTTGTTAAATCTATGACTAAGGATAGATTAATTTAATGACTAAAAATCTGTACAACAGCTAGCGATTTACCTGGTTGCAGTATGCAAATGTGTTAGCTGAATGTTCGTGAGTATGCATCATGATTTAAGGGTATAAGGATCAACTTACCTGCAAATAAGTTAAGTAACTGAGTTAGAATTGTTTCAAGGTAAACAAAAAGACTAGAATGGAAATAGAAATGCTTCTACATGCTCTAATTGTGAATTTATTGAATTAAAAGACTTGCATGCTTGTTATGGAAATTGCTCTGATATATCCAGTGGTATAAATATATGATATCATGCTTATTGTTATAATTTTCTATGGAGATATAGACCCGAACAAAACTGGGTACTCATTGTGCTGTTGTTAGCAACTTATTGTATAGACATTGACTTCTGGCAGCAGGGAATAGTCAAGGCAGGACCTCGCTTATTGTGTGTGTGCACCACATATTGTTTATTGACTCCATAGAATGATATTGGGAATCTGGTTGCCATTGTTTGTGCCCATCTATTTGTTAACCAGATCTCCTAAACTGTTTTGCTAACTAAGAATTGTTAAGAATTGATTGTCTCATGTTCTGAACTTGGCGTATTGCCTATATTTGTTCACTAAATGATTAATAGTTTTTAGTTATAGATTGGTTAGTAACATCCACTTACAGGCTTATTAGCTCACAAACTAGTTTAACAGGTTGCAGGTTAGCTAAGTTTAAGGGAGTACAAGGACCTCAGGAAGCTAGGAACTTTTCCCTGGAAGCCTGAACTTGGTTAGACAAGTTTGTAAACTCTAACAAAAACTATCCTGGCTCATCTTTGAAAGTTCAGTTAGCATACTTTATAAGAAGATTCTACTCTATGTATATCTTGTAAAGCTGGTCTAAACTGAACACAATTTGTAGACTAAACTTAAGGTTCTGATGTTTAAATGGTTTCTAGTTTATGAAAACCAGCTTATTTGAAATTTTCTCAGTTCCTAAAATTGAGCATAGTTTTCCGGCAGTTTAAAAGTTAGTTGGATTTTATGTACAGGAATTAAACATCCAACTAGCTAATGTTTTTCAACAGATAAATGCTTCCCTATGTTATATCTTGTTTTTAAGTACAGATTTTAAGTACAAAGCATCACTACTATTAGTTAAATTATCAGATTTTCAATGGATAGAAACATGTTTTCAAAACAAATCGTCATTATTTAACTTCTACTGCAATTGCATTTTATTTGTTAAGAGGGTATAATTGTATGTCATAGCTCATACCTAGTATGGCTTAGAATGGACTAGGCACAAATAAAGGCAGAAATTAAAACTTATAAGTTCTCCAATGAGGAACATTGCCCCATGTCCCCTATATAATATTGTTTTCAGGTAAGAAGAACCAACATGATACTTTGAAAAACTCAAAGCAAGTTAGAGAATCTAACTCGATTTCCAGAGATTTCCACCATAGTAGCGTGCTGTGCCAACCATAAGTGCCACTGTAGCCCCCTGAAAAACCACCCTAGCTCTCATTAACATCTGACCCAACTGGGAATTACCTCACCTAAAACTGATTAATCCAGCAGTGAGCTCCCCCGCAGTCATAAGTGCACCTGTTGAACTCACAACAGTCAAACAAACTGAAACATAATAATAATGCCAGTAGTTTTTAAGAATTAAGAGGAAAGGGCTGTAAATATTGCAGTACACTTGCTGGTTTAGAGATTTTTCATAGCAATATAAACACAACAGCAAATTAAAATGCCTAAATGAAGTAAGAAATCTACCAGCCCAAGAAATAACAGAGAATTAATTAAATACCATGCATCTCCCTTCCATGCCTTCAAAAATTTACCATCAAGAAATTTATGTCCACTATTGAAAAAAGAATTGCCTACTGCTGCTTTGAGCCATTCCTATCAAGATTGACGAATCGATCATCATACAAAAGTTTGATGCATTAACCCTCCTCCACACAATAAACCAGCCAAAAATGTAATGATAATAATAACTAGAAAAAAAGAAACAACATAGTTTCCAAGTGCTCGACTGATCATCATCCATACAAACGCAGAATGAATCAATCAAAATTAGCTAATTATAAACACAACCCGACATAAAATAACACAATTTTCTAGCCATCATAAGAAGCGTCAAACTATTTGCTCTAAAGCTTTTGCTGAAAGCAAGAGTTCAGTTCCCACTTGTATTTAAACTGCAAGTAACCCTTTAACACTTTGCCTCTATATGATCTAAGAATAAGTCACAGTCTCACAGAGAGAATGCAGAAAAAAGTGAAGCAACTAGACCTGGCAAAAATCCACCTGACCCGTCAACCCGACCCTAACCCGACCCTTAAAAAACGGGTTAGGGTCTACATATCTCAACCCGCAACCCGTAGATAACCCGTATTATCAACCCGTACGGGTCACGGGTCGGGTTAGGGTCAACCCGCGGG